ACGAATAGATTTTTCTTATGATTTATTTATCAGATTTCAAGACGACAACAAATTGAAAGCAATATACGATATGTGAAAATCGATAAATCAATCTGAAGTTACCTGTGAAATTGTGGGTGATTCGTCTGCAGCCTCGAAGGATAATATTTCTTAATCTACTGGAATTTGGAATCGATTGTTAATTCAGAAAAACAACTTAAAGTGACTCATTGTCTCATGCATATTCTCATACTCGAACTCTTTCATAAATAATGTAAACTTGTAATTTGAAACAAACTTACAAATCTTTTTCAACCAAAGTTACTTAGAGTTGACAGAAAGTTATATCACCATTAAATAAAAATATAATGATAAGGAGATATTTTCAATTTTATTGCATCAAATGTTCATGATAGTTATTATGATTATTTATACTAAGTTCAATATATTTTCTAATAATTTATTAAAAATTTTTTTTGAACTATTTTTCAAAAAAAACTTTTATCTATCTTGGAAACCGCATGACGGTGAATACTACAGATGTAACATTATATTGATGCCTTTTTCTCTCAATCAATTAATAACATTCAATGAATATGAAGTCAACGATGATCATCAAGCAATTTTAAACATTTTAAGTCTGATATTTCTGTTCGCTTCCATATTGCGTTAGTACAAGGCTTTATAGACTTGTCATTATCTACACTACGCACAAAAAACAGTACCATTTGATTTAAACAATATACAAAACAAAGTTTTGGTTCAAATTTGTCTCTATGAACAATAGTGTTTGCTGATTTATCTTTACTAATTTAGCTATCATCATATAGCTTGCTAATAACCTGTTTAAAATAAATCCATATCTCATCACTCGTACTACTGGAACCCAACTGGCACGAATTTTGCTAAATTTTAAGAGAAATTCTTGAAGATGATCACATAAATGAAATATAATGTGTTCATACGGTTTCCAAAATAGCTAAACATGTTTTCGAAAAATAGTGTGAAAAAAACTTTTAATAAATTATTAGAAAGGATCGAACTTGCTTGAAATAATTATAATAACTATCGTGAACATTTAACAAAATAAAATTCAAAGTATCGCCTTATCTTTATATTTTTATTTAACCCTGACATGACAACATTAAAGACTATCACTTGTTGTCAATCTGGTATCTATACAGATCTCAATTGGATAAAACAGGTGTGATATACGAACTCGGTATTATCTTATATTAGGACTGTAGAGGCTCTGTAAAGGGCCTCACTACAAAAGTAATAAATAGAAATACTGTCACTTTTAATTCTTTTATTCATTGTTTTTTCCAAAAACTGTAGTCATTCGCTTTCATTTTAAAACCATCCCGTACTATATACCACCAATGAATTTGTGATGTAGATAACTCTGGAACTATCCACTGGTCTTGAAACTTATTAGAAACTTTTGGAATGCTCTCGAAAAAATGAAAAGAAAAATTAACAATGTAAAATTGAAAGATTGACACCGAAAAGCATTAGAGAAATCTAGTACTCTTGATAGAGACAGTCGATCTCATCCAGGATAATCAGCTCAGACTACAACCACTTTCATCTACGTTACTCTGTATTAGTTTTCGTCATACGACTTCACTCCGCTTGTTTTCGTTATTCGAGAAAACACAGGCGTATTTATTTGTGAAGAGGAGAGATGAGACGAGGTGGAATAGTGGGTTGTTCCTTCTAACTGTACAATATACAACAATAGAAAAATGGAAAGAGACACAAGAAGTTGAGACTACGCTTATTTTCTTTGTTTTGACCTGCGCAATAACTGACAGAGAGACATAAAAAATCGTACAATTTCGCCGAGAAAAACAAATTTTACCTGGAATATCACTAAGAGGAAAGAGAAAAATAACTACGGAGAACAGAGCAAAAGAAGCGAACAAGTACATTCTCTGAAAGACGAATACACATGAACATCAGTCTATTGAGATTGCTTTATAACAATTATGATATGGGTTGCACAGAGTCCAGATAGACAACAAGCGTTCACATGTACTTCGACATGGTGTATCATATCAACAACGTACAGCAATGACCAGATGATATTATAAGCTTACTCTACTAGACTTCATTAAAGCATATCCACAGAGGTGCAGTTCGGTCTCATGTTATTGTGCAAATAACATTAATTGGAAACCTCTTGGAGTCCGAACAGACTCCAGGTTGCCGTGTCAGGGTTAAAAAGGTTCACTATTAAGTACTTTTTCCTTTTGAAAAAAACTTTTAAAAGGTACTAAAAACTTGGTTTTTACCTACTTTTTTTACATGGGTTATTTGTGATCTCTTTCTGATTTCTCAATTTGTCGACATGTTAGTGAAGTTGTTCCGATTCTGGAACCAATTACTACTCAGTAACTTGGATCAAAAAAAACAAAAAAAGATTTCATAACTTTCATGAATTTTTTGTCAAAAACACGAAAAAATGGTATTTTTGATGATGAAATGGACATTAATTTTGACGTAACCCGCGATGCAAAAGTATCCGTACAAATGTCGGAGCCTATTGCATATAAACAGGAAGCCCTAGAAACCGAACTTTTCCACTCATTGATAGAGCAAAGTTTGTACTTTAAAATGTATGTTTTCAAAAAATGGAGGATGTGGTTTAATACTTAAAATTTAAAAAGTTTTGAAACTACCAAAAATGACTTGTAACTTTTTAGGCTTTTTAGAGCTTTTTGTTGTTTTAATCTGCATCATAATGACTAAAAAAACGGTATATCGAGCGAAAACTTGAAGATAGTAGACTATGGAGTCTAGACTGTCTACAGACTGCCTGAAAGTATGACTCCATAATCTTCTACGTTTCCATGGCAACTACCAACCATCGTCATCTACAAAAAAACGAGACATCGCAGTTTCAGCAAAAATCTGTACCATTTGTAACGTTCAAAAATTTCAAAACATGTCCAAAAGATAGAGTTCCTCAAACCCAACAGAGAAAGACATGTAATATTGAAATAAGCCATTGTAACTGGCTCACGATCTATAGAATGAACAATATGTACAAAACTACGCTTAGTTCCAAATTTACTCATAGTTAGAGGCTTTTATAACTCGGCGGATCTATATGCAATTGGTTTAAATTTTTTTAAACTGAAAGATACAAAGCTGTTAAATATTTATAGTCAGTTTTAAACCATTAAAACTAACACAAGCCGAACGTATGGAAGAATTACTAATTTTACTTTGGTTACAAAGCCGTTTTTAGTGGTTTAGAAACTTTTAAAATTCTAAGTATAAAACTACATCCTCCATTTTTTTAAAAACATACATTTTAAAGTATAGGCTTTGTTCTATCAATGGATGAAAAAGTTCGGTTTCTAGCACTTTCTGTTTATATATCAAATAGAAACAGATCAATCTATATCCCTTCGATACAAATCAATCTGCTAGTCTCAACTCTTGCTTTTCAGCAATCAATGAAGTCGTATTTAATTTGACAAATTGAAAATGCGTGCTTTATGAAATAATAAAAGAGAATGCAGAGTTTTATTTCGCCGACGCGTTTCATGTTTATTTTATTAAAATTTTGAAACACTCATCAGGGCTCTGCATTACAATAAAAAGCAAAACATATTGTTATATAAAAAACAAACTACTCTAAATTAAAAAGGAATAATAAATGTATACTATATTGAAAACAAAACTAATACAGGAACGAAAACTAACATAAAAAGGCACGTTTAATTCAAGTACTTCAGCTTGTGTCCAAAATGTTCTTGTTGTTTGTGTCGCGTCAATTCCTTTTATGACGGGTTATTTATTGTTGTCGATATATTAGTACGTGTACGTGCTGGTAAACTTATATGACAATTGTACCGAGATATATATACAATATCACTGATTTGTCTCTGAGGAAATGTTACAATTAATTAAGATAACCACGAAGTAATATTAAGCTAGGTACAGGTCGCAAACATGTTGTTGCTATTGTCGATATATTAGTACGTGTACGTGATGGTGAACTTTTAGTTGGATAATATCACTTATTTGTCTCTGAAGGTATAATTTATATCACTTGAGAGGATAATGTGACTTATTTGTCTCTGGAAATATAAGTAGATAATGTCTGATTTCAATTGTTCGATGTCAATTAAATTTGGACTTTCAGTTATTCAATGTGATACAAATAGTGTATTGAACAACCCGACGTTTAGTTGACGGGTATTCATTTAAATGTAGAAAGGTTTAATTAAATAATATGTAGACAAATAGACCTCTAGGTGGTATAGGCGACAGAATAGATTGATTTCGGTCGTCTCCCATGCGATGGGAAAAATATCACTTATTTGTCTAACATCAAAGTAAATAAATAATTGATTGATCAATAAATTTTGCTTGATGAAATTATTTAATAAGAATACATCAAAAGCATAATATCACTTATTTGTCAAGATAGTATGCGATAAACCAATAACATTCTACTTGTTTCTGAAGATATAATTATATCTTTTGTCTATCTTTGAAGATAGAGAATGCCAAACCAAATATTTAGTATATTGAATAACTCGACGTTTAGTTGACAGGTAATATCTGACATCAAATATGTTAATAATCTCTTTAACAGTAAGTATATTAAGTGGTTAAACATCAATAGACGTAAATAATATCTGTTTTATAATTCTCATATATCAAATCAAAAAAGCACAAGCCATCTAATACCAATTGCTAATATTTTAAATAACTCGACGGTTAAATGGCGGATATGCAAATGTAAGAGAATTCAGTTAATTAAAATGTCATCAAATATGTTGATAATCTCTTTATAAGTAAGTATATTTATATAATATGATTGAAGACAACACCAGTTATTATAGATTAATTGAAAATGACTAAACCATAATAAAATGTATTGAATAATCAAATACTATATTATCGTTGTCTTAATTATTTAAGTTAAAACCATACATGAGGTTTATATAAGTAGATAAAATAATATATAACAAATTCCACAATAACCATTCATCATATAATTACATATTAAAAGCTAGACGTCTATGTATATTCTTCACATTTCGAGTGCCAAGAATAGGTCTAACTTCATTAATAGAAGATTCCTCAAAATATTTATTCCAAAGTAGGTGGAATTTAGCGGGAAAAGTTTTCATAGTAGAACAGTATGTAAAATGTATAAACATAACTGCTTCATAATCAATCGAAACTTTTTGTTTCATGGGTGAATCTATGACTATTTGACGATATTTGCTATAATTGGAATTTGTTAATGGCTGATCAATATTACATTTTAAAAGAACATTATTAAACTGTTCTTCAATTAATTTATTCGGATATTTATTAAGTAATAAAGCCATACGTAATTTTTCACGTTCATCCAAATATGTTTGAAATGTAGAACAATACCTAATAACTCGAAGTAAGATCGTAAAAGGTATATTCTTTTTCATATGTAATGGATGAATACTATTGAATGGTAAGTAATACGGTTCATAAGACGGCTTTTGATAAACAGTAGTAAATAATACACCATCACAACTTTCCATATATAAATCAAGAAAAGTCGCAAATGAATTAATATTTGGGTTTAACTTAATATTTTCATCGAAATTCTTCCATTTGTCGATTTGTTTTAATAGATGTCTAACGGGCCAATTAACCACAATAAATAAATCATCAATGTACCGAAAGTAGAGTCCCCCGCTATTCTTAATTTGCTTGGCTATTCTTCGTTCAAAGAAGAACATATAACAATTTGCCATAGTTAAGGTTAACGGAGATCCCATAGCTCCACCTCGAATCTGATGATAAAATTGGCCATCATACGCAAAATAATTATTTTGCATAACGAATCGACTTAATCTAATAATAGTTTCTGTTCTTAAGCCATTAACTTTTTTCAATTTCAAATAATCTAACATTTTCTTCAAACATAACACTCGTTCTACTTGTGGAATCATTGTATATAAATCTACTACATCAATAGTACAAAATATAGTATTTTGATTCATATTCAGAATTGACCACTTTTGCAATTTCTTGACCAATTCAAAGCCTGAAGTAACTGTCGTCTCTTGGGCCATTTTGTCAAATAATGGTCTTAACAAATCATCCAGAAATTTTGAGACTTTAATTGTAGGATGCTTAAGTCCACTTATAATTGGACGTAGAGGAGTACCAGGCTTGTGGGCTTTTGGTTAATAATATAAATGAGCCAATTCAACTTCATTTGGTTTAATACTTAATAATTCATACTGTTTTTGAGTAATCCATTTAGTCAATCGTAAATCTAACAGATATTTATTCGTCCGTTGAATTAATTCAGGTAATGGATCATTTGTACCAAGACATTGATATGCTTGAGTTTTTTCCATATATTCCTTTGATTTCTTACGATAGTCTTCGACTTTACCTAAATGGAATACTTTGGATTTGTCTGATTTTTGTAATATAACATTAGCCAATTTAAACTTATGTTTCAGTCGCTTAACTAATCTTCCATAGTTTTTCTTTTTCTTCACTTTTACCACAAGTAACGCGTCGGCTCTATGAGCCTTGCTTAGCTCAATCCTGAAAGCTCGAAAGCATATCATGCGACATAGGCTCGTACATTGCTAAACACATTCGTAAGTGAGATTGAAATATTATCAAAGAAATTTCTTCCATGACCAGAATCATCAGGATATATTGAACTCTATTTATATTCAGATAATGTGTTGCTCGTCATTCTTCTGTATGTAAAATATGTCTGTTTATACTACGCTTGGAACATGTGTCATTGTCCAGTTCGAAGAGTCCAACTACTGTATCCTGTCGCATTCGATCGGATTCAATATCGCATTATGTCAAAAATGGTCTGATTTCGATTTCTTTCGGTCGGATCCTGTTGGATTGATTTAGAAATTAAGTGATCCGGAATCCATCGAACATTTACTTACTCAGGTCAAGCAAGCAGACGGTAAGATGTTACATGATCATACCTCCGATCTTGTATGATCCTGTAACGTCATACGAAAATCGTGCAAAAATCGTGGTCCCATAAATCTTACATCAAGTCGCACCATGAGGCTCTTGAAAGCTCTTGCTGCTCTGTAGGAAATTCCAAAAAGATTATAGAAAATCTTGTCCCACGGTGAGATCTTGCAAGAATCTTAAAGTGCAATTTGATGTAAGATTTCTGAGACCACAATTTTTTGCAAAATTTCACCTAATCTTATACGACATAATGTCTGGTTTTATAACCTGGGTAGGGAAGGATATTATTGCATCCGACAACTTCAGATGAATGGATTCGACAAAGTTCTATCGGATCCTCAGAGTAAACTTCACAGATCCGATACGATCCGAACGGATTTCAGATATAACCGTTCTATACTTAAGCTGTTTCGCATTCAATATAATTTGCTATAAATTAAATAAATATTAATATTTATAACAATGGTAAAAATTCACTGTCTAGCCTTATGATCTCGTTAATGAGATCCATACACAAGATAAACCTAGATAACGTTCTTAAACATGTGTACAAATATTAAAAATGAATACACTATATCCCTTTGCCTCAATGCTTATCCACATACCCTTATAATTACGCTCTTACCAATATACTCCCATACATATACCCATATACCTATACTTTTATATCTGTACCTTCAAAAACATATATTACTGGTTACATCACTGTGCCTATTATCTTACACCTGCACATCTGTAGGGTGAGTTAAAAGTTATGGCACTTCGTGGCACGGGTGTGCCAATATGCAGAGAGCCAAACTCACACCCACAATCCACACTCCTCACCCACACCTCGCACTCTACAGTCACAACCGTACGCACCAAACCCACCCACCCACGTTCACACTAATACACACCCACATCCATCCATACCCACAACCACACGCACCAAGCCCACCCACTCACGTTCACACTACCACACACCCACACCCACATCCACCCATACCCACAACCACACCCAGATCCACCCATACCCACAACCACACCCACACCCTCACACCCAACACTGCATAGCCACAACTAGGGCTGTACCGCTCACGCTCATGAGCGTGAGCGTTTTCTGACTCAAAGAAAGTACGAGTGCCTCTGATCACTTTTTTCAACTTTATTTCTC